ATGATTAAATCAAATTAGCCTATTAAAAATTTAATTATATCATTGGACTTAATTTTTATACAAATTCATCCAATAACTATTTAATTTGACCTTTAATTTGTATTTTTTTATCTATTTTTAGATATAATAGAGTACAATTAGGCCTTGAATTTCTTTAAAAAATTACAGCTTGATTTTTCAGTTTGCTTTTTCCATGTTGTCAGCTATTATTTTATTTTTATTTTAAAAAAATAAATTCTTAAAAATAATCAGAATTAAGTTATGCCAAATCTTTTAGGTAAAAAAAGCTAAAATCAAGGAGAAGTGAAAGTAAAACATTTATAACATGAAGAGGATCATATACAGAAATGAACCGGGGGCCCGCCGCGGGCAGGACGGATTAATTTTATTTCTTTATTTCTATTTATTTTTACGTTCAACCTAAAGCCAGAGAATGCTTTGTGGTCCCATAGCCTAAATATTATATTGCACAAAAACACATGCCCTAATCATTTTATTCCTCATTAAACAATCCACTCTAGTTATTATCGTGGCGTTATTCATATAGATTGACACAATCATTCGCCTTGTGGCTCAGTGAATGTGTTGTGGTCCCGTATCGTCTGACTAATGTTTTTTTGAATTAATATGAATATCCATATGAGATCATACATCGATTGCTATTATAATTATTAAAATTAATAATTATATAAATTTTTAATAATTTTTAATTTGTAAAATTCAAGTTAGTAACTTTTAAAAAATAAATTTAAAATGTAATCAATTAAATTATATTTTTTAAAATTAATTTTTTTAGTTTATTCGATGATAAATAAAACGTTGAGGTCTGCTAGAAGAAAATATTGTCCTTAAAGGAAGCTCCAGAATTAAGATTTCAAGCTAATTTGATGACAATATTTCTAGTCTAAATTATGAAAGAGATGAGCAATTACTAGGATTTGGAATTGTGCGAGAGCCAAACTTTGTGTGGTCCGGTGTCATGTAGATACCCCGAGTCATTAATTTTGGATTTTAAAACTATGGCTTATAGTTGTTGTTTTCTTTTTACTAGAGAAAAAGAAGAGATTTTTTTATAAGTTTAGAGGTGTAAAATAGGGTTATATATATATATATTTATATTTATATAAGAGAAGGAAATTAATTCTTATATGTAGTCTTCTTTCCAATACTTGAGTATCTATCCTAATTGGTCAAGTCCGTTAGTATCTGACTAGATTTTCTGCCGGCGGTCCACTGCGGGTTGGGACATTAATTCCACGTTTAACCGAGAACGCAGCAAAATCAAATTGACAATAGAAAAACCCACTCCAAGTAAAGTGAAAAAAATGAATTAAAGAAAAAACCCAAAATTCATTAATTGAAGATATTAGTTTAATTCAAACACAAAATTCACACCGTGTATATATGTGTATATATATAATGTGTCCCCTGAAGCATTTTTGGTGTTAGATAATCTGAGGAATTAATTCACAATTGGAGGAAGGAGGGACGGGTTTCTTTATCCAATATGTGGCAGATATCAAATAAAAATCCTTTTAAATTTGAATTATAAGACAAATTTATTTGTGCACTAGTAAGAATTAATTGAACTGTAAAAACATTACAAATCTCAATTGCAATTAGGAGGAGAAGTTAACTGTCAGCATAATTTGTTCAAGAACATGGAGATAAATGATAATGAGTCTTCTTGCATTCTACTTGGACAATAATATTTATTAATTTCTTGGGATGAAAAACTTACTTAGTTTAACGACAGTAATTTGATTTAAAAAATAACCCAAAATTTCTTTTTACTAATATTAATCTTAAAGTATAATTTCCTCCCTCTCCTGAATGATCTTCTACTTGATCATCCCCCAACCCCCACCCCCACAAAAAAAAAAAAAAAAACCTTTTGTTTTCAATCTTCCATTTGCCCCTTATATTTATTTTCCTCTTTGGTTGGTTCCCAGATTATTGTTTAACTAAATTGGTGAACGCGCTACGCAACGAGTAGAGCAACAAAAAAAAAAAATACTAGTGTCAAATAGTCAAATTGTTTGGAAAAAGCTGGAGGTTTAGACTGAAGAAAGTTTTTAAATGCAGGGCAAGACTTGGGTCTGCATAGGCTTCTTTGGAAGTCTAATGTTCTTCATTGGGGGTTTAACAAATGTAGTCAAAGTGTTCGAGATGCAGCAAATTGATGGACTAAGGTTCGAGAAATTGCGAGGAGGAGCTCAAGAGCGTTTGATACGAGAGTGGGAGGGCCAGGCACCACTAATCCTAGCAGAGGAGAGGAGGGGGAAAAGGATAGCCGAAGAAACTAGAGCAGCGCCTATTCCTGCACCAACTCCAGTACTGATCGTAGAAGAGGAGAGGAGGAGGAAAATGACAGCCGAAGAAACAAGAGCAGCACCCATTCCTGCACTAACTCCTTACAAGGATGTACTTGTTGGCCAGTCTTGATTACTTCAATAATTTCCGTGCATCATTCTATGTTATGTTGGTATCCTTCGGTGCTTTTCCCTCTAATCCTAGTACTGGGGAGCAGGAAAAGTATGGAGGAATTTGTCAAAAGCTTCATGAGCAATTATATTGACTTACTCGGATATAATGGGGTCGACTCTCAATCTTGGTTTTGTAAAAAAACAATTAATTAATAAAAGAACTTAAAAAAAAAAAATTACAATCATAAAAATAAAAATAAAATAAAATAATTATGGATTAAATAAAAAAATAAAATTCAATTAGAAAACAATTAAAAATAAAATAAATAAAAATTAAAAAATTAAAAATCATATGCCAAATAATTAAATTAAAAACAAATAAATTATATCTAATACAATTAAAATATTAAAGATCGCTTTGTAATTTCATAAAACCAGCATGCTTTTTAATGTTAAAAAAAAAAAGTTTTATCACCGAAGTTCTTCCGTGTATCTTCTACTAGGTATATTGGACTAAATGTGGCCGCTAACAATATACGACCACAGAAATGTAGAATCTGGTTTTGCCTTGGCGGAAAATCCCAAGCTGAAAGACTTGCGCTCACGCAATCTTGTCCAACGAAAGGATAGATTTTAACACAAAAAAGAAGTGCGACAAAAGCTGTTAAGGAGTAATCAATGGTGATTTGAAAATAATACCAGCCTGGCTAGCAGAAACAGTCATGGCTGAGGGTGGGGTCTTCTCTCTTTCTAAAATAAGATTTTATCAATGCAGAGTCGAAGGCGAGCGCGGTGCCCAGCAGCTGCCAGGGAGGAAGATTTGACGAGGCAGGAGCCTCCGTCCATATTACAATGTTCGAGAAAACTATCCTAACCACCAAGCAGAGCAAGAATGTTCACTAATGACATTAATGCAGCCAATCGGAGGGAGGATTCATATATTAAAATAATATTTTTTTTTATTTTTCGAACTTTTCCACTTATAGGCTCTCCGCCATCAGTTGCCTACATATTACAATTCACATTCCATTGATATTTATCTTATATATGTCACGGCTACCATCAAATTAACACATGATATGGAATATTTTTGAGTTTTCCTGAGAAATTGATTTCCCATCCCTACTTATTTTTGGTATGAAAATGAAATATTTTGGCCTCTATGGAAACGTTCTTAGATGATATTTTCTTGCTATTTTCTTTTTCCTGATCGTGGGATGATATACTCAATGAAATTGTCTTGGCTTTTGAGGAATTAAACCGTAAGTAGTAGAAAAATCTATTGTCTGGAAACATTTCTGGTGCTAGATAATGTGAGATTAATTCACAATTGGGGTAAGGAATAACATGTTTCTAATCTAATATATATGAGGCAACTTACCAGATAGAAATATCTTTTGAATTATAAGAAACATTGTTTTGCGCACAAGAATTTGACCTGAAAAACTACTGCAAGGCTTAGCAATTTCAACTGCAACTAGGGTTTGAAGTAGAACTAGTACAATAATTTGTTAAAGAACATGGAGATGACTTGAAAGAGCTCGAGTTTTCTTGCATTTTACTTGGACATTAATATTTCTTAATATCTTGAGATGGAGAATTGACAACAGTTTTATTTCAGTAATTCTATTAAAAAAAGAACCAAATTTTTTTTTCACTAATATTAATCTTAAAGCATGATTTCCTCCCTTTCCTAAATATTATTCTAATAATATTTTTCAGATTTTCTTTATTTTTAATATTTAAAAAAAATATGTGTTTTTTTTTAAAAAAAACACATTGCACGTTTTACTAGGGTATTAATTCCATGTTTAACTAAGAACGCAGCAAAATCAAAATGCTTTTTTTATTTCATTAAACATGAGCAGTGCACATGTTGCTTGAAGGGAAGTAGAAACGCACGTCGGCCATGCAAAACTAGTGGGTTATCAAAAAAAAAAAAAAAAATTGGAAAAACACTGTAACTTACATACCTTATAAAATATTATTTATTTTAATAATGTTTTTTCTTTATTTTTTTCTAATTATTAATATTAAATTAAAAGATTTAGTGTTTGTACTGGATACCATGTCACAAAACACTATTTATTTTAGCAATTTTCTTTTTTCTTTCTAAGTATATAT